AAAAGAGCGGTGCTCCGGTTTACCTAAAAAGAAAACCAAACAGGCTTTATGCTGAAAAGTTCACATCTGTTCCTGCCCACGGTAGGCAGGGTCTGGGAGGGCTGGAGAGACAAGCACACTCATGGTTCAGATCCCGAAGGAGGCTGGGATCCAGATCACCCACAACTGAGGACGACACAAGCCTCAGAGCCTGAGGGCATAAGATGAGTGTAGAGAATTAAGTGTCAGCCTTGAGACTTGTGTGTGAGCAGGTATGCGGGCAGGAAGCAGGTGGAAGGAGCCTCCAGGGGAAGGTAGACCTGGAGGGAAGAGGTGCCAGAGGCGGGAGGCTAAAGCGCCCATTTTGAGGACCCGGAGGAACGGGGGGAAGAGCGACAGGGACCACAGCAGAAGGGACAAGCAGACGGGACGGGAGACCCTGACGAGGAGGCCCTCGGTGATGCCACTTCTGAAGCCCAAGGCGGGAGAACAAATGGGTTTGGAGCTGGCCGCAGGGGAGAGGGATTCCCCGGCTTCAGAGTGCCCGGCTGGCATCCACCTAACGCCCCTCAGTAAACGCACAGGAGACAGTCACCAGGACCCCCGTGGACGTGAAAGAGCTAATCCCCCGGGATGACCGCGGTCCGTGCCGCCCGTGTTGTCGTCTGTTACTCTCAGCGCTTCCCCCCGCGAGGCCAGCGAGCACGGCACGGTGAAGGACACCGAAAGGCAGTGTTTCAGGGGAGCGGCAGAAAGAGTGCGCTCGTGACGACCACCTTACTTTGGCTTCGACGGCAGCCAGGTCTGCTTTGATGGCCTGGGCCTCCGAGATGAGGACCGCGTACTCCTCCTTGTAGCGGGCGATGCTGGCCTCCAGCTCGCGGATCATCCGCTCCACCTCGTTGGCTTTCTGCTGGTTGTCCTTGGCGTCGTCCTCCAGCTTCTGCAGCTCGTTGCGCAGGGGCTCTACTCGCTTTAACATGTCGGCGTAGTTAAGCTGCGGAGGGCAGATCGACTGTTCGCAAAAGGGACGGGACACAAGGCCCCCTCGCACAGGGGTTCCCAGCCAGGCTGAGTACCTGTGCGATGGCCCACTTAACCATAGGCCCGCAGGCCAGGGAGGCCCGGTTGACGATTTCGTAATTGTAACTGGGGTTGGACATGTAGTTCTTCTTCATCTTCTCCCTTATGGCATCGCTGCAAGACAGGAATTGTGTTTCTCAGCACGCGCGGGGCAAAGGTAAAGAAGAACTTTCAGGAACTCGAAACGTAAAGGCCAGAGCCAGCTCCCGCCTGTCGCTCCAGTCACCACCAAGGACGAGCCAGCCCGACCCCAGTTCTCAGGTGACGAGGCCACTGCTGCCGAGGACTCTCACCTTCCCACCCCTCCCCTGTTCCCCGACAGGAGACAAGCTCAGGGCCAGCTCTGTGCTCGTAGCCACTCATGGGGACGGAACAGTATTCGGCTCACACAGGTAAAGGGGCCAGGGAACTACTGTCAGGAATGGGGAGAGGAAATCTGACTAGTTTGAGTGGAAATGGCCTGGAAAGGTGTCTGTGCAACTGATGAGCTGATATTACCTTCTGTGTATGCTAAGCCAGAGACACGAGGCCACAAGCAAACACGAGAACCTCATGCCACCAGAACAGTTTCCCCCACCGCGTGCCACCCACCTGATCTCCTCGGCAGAAAAGTTCACGATGGTCGGGATGAAGTTCTCCCTCATGATGATGGAGCGAATCTGCTTCCAGTCCGTCGTGCTCTCCCCCAGCAACAGGCAGATGGACTCGAGCGCCAGCTTCACGGCGGCAGGGGGGTTGGCCATGGACCGCACCTCCACCAGGTGCTGCTTCTTTATGGACTTCACAGCTGGGCGTGGCGGGAGCACAAGAGGGTGGGGTGGAAAGGACGCGGTGAGAAGGGGACCAGAGCACAGCCAGACACTTTGACTCTCACCAGAAAAGGGACAAGTGTGCAGAAGATCCAAGTGAACGTGGGATGTTCTGTCTTAAAACCCTCTGGAATAGCTGAAGTGGCCAAAATAATGACAGAGATCTTACTGTACTGAGCCTAAATCACAACATTCTGTAAAAAGGAGAGCATCTTTAAAAATGTCTCACAAATCCTCATTAATTCCTTTACCTCTATAAAGATTTAAGTGTTAAAAGAAAAAAGCAAAATTGTTCATTTATTTTACACCAATTGAACAAAGACCTTTTCAGTCTGCCACAATTTAGAAGTTGTCTTTACTGGCTGGGGTGAAGATGTGGAATTAACAGTTCTAAAAAAAATGGCCAACACTTTCCATAAACTGAAATGCACATTTTCCTAACCTGAACTTTTATTAAAGCACTTTTTTAAAGTAATTCTTCGGCAGGTGAGAGCTAAATTAAATCCTCATCAAAGTACAACTCAGTGAAAATCTACAGTGCATTTTAATTCCTCTTGTGGTGTAATGTGAAAACTACAAGCAATTGGGTTATTTGAAGTAAGTTAAAGGCTGATGGGCAGGAAGGGGCCCAGGGTTAAGGCCACGCCTAGGTACTGGGCAGACTGCAGACTAAGATGGGACGCCGGGTCACTGCGCTCCCTCCTGCAGCATTTCCCAGGTATGTGGGGTGGAAAAGGAAGGATGGGGGACTGTTACCAATAATTAAATTAGTCATCGCTGGCCACGACCAGGACACCCTAATAATTATAAATAAGATAGCAACACTGCCTACTTTATGACATTTCTGGATGAAATTCAAGCCAGAGATTTGCAAATAGCATATTTATGAAATTATCACCAGATTTTTAAAAATGTACTGACAAAAAGCTTATTTTGTCAATTTTCTCTTATGAAAAGGGCTTCACTATGGTGAAAGCAGACTAGCTTTATGGAAGCTTTGCTTTAAGAGATGAAGACAGTCTTTAAGTATTTAGAAAGGGCTTCAGAGACTTGACACTTATCAATGACACTTTGGAAACACACATAACTGGGACCTCTGGGGGAAGGCCATGCTGCCCCCTAATCTGTCCACCCTCCCCAGAGAGCCAGACCTCTGACAGTGTGCACACACCATTCTGGGCCTCGATGACGGCTGGCTCCACCTTGTCAAGATCTTCCTTGACGCTCATCTGTTTGTCTGCGATGACCTCCTGCTGCTTATGCAGCTGTTCCTGGATTTCTTGGCTCATGACCTAGAGAGGAAGGACGGCTCAGCTCTGGGCTAAGGACCGGTTAATTCGCTGAGTCCTGACTCCTCGTGCCGCCCGGGACGCGCACACACACACACACACACACCCTGCCCCCACCACAGGCACGTTCAACACTAGAACCCATCTCAGACTAAACCCCCTGCTCCCTCATGAGAGACGGAGAGCGCCGGTCGCCGCACCTTTTTCTTCTCCGCCTCCTGCTGGTCCTTCACCATCTTCTTCAGCTTGTCGTTGGCCGCCGCGTTCTTCACCTCCAGCTCTTGGCTCTTTATCCTGAGGTCCCGACGCAGCTCTTCCACCTGAGAAACAAAACCACATCAGGGAAATGGAAAACACGTGGCAATTACCTTCAAATTCAGAGGCCCTCCCCTGGCGCAGCCCCAGAAAACGCTGCTCAGGCCGCAACGTACCTGGTCAACCGTCTCTTTGATCTTCCTCAGCCCGACATTCAGGTGCATCTGCTGCTCCTCCAGCTCGCTCCGCTTCTCGTGGAACAGGTCGGCGTAGTGATTGATGAAGTCTAGGTAGTGGCGAGGCGTGATGGCCATGGTCCTGCCTCCCCGCTTCGCTAGCCGAGCATTAGCCTTTGGGAAAGAAGTCAAATCTCTTCACTCTTCAGGACGTTCGTCCTCTGCGATTTAACCTCAGGAGATAACTGTTGTGCCGGTGCGGCGCGACGGCACGGCCCCAGCCCCCGGGAGTGGCATCGCTCGAGACGGAGTCCAGCTCAGGCGCCCACGGGGCCACAAGGAGCCCTCACACCTCTGAGCTTCTCCTCCGACTCCTAGGGGCACGGCAGGGCCAACAGGACACCCACGGGCTCCGAGTGGCCGTCACAGAGCCTTCCAGAGGGGGGCAGACTGGACTCTTCTAAGAAAGAGTCTAAAGGAGGGGCAGCAAACCACAGCCAGCCCGTCAAACCCTGCAGCGCAGCCTCTGCATGCGGAGTGTCAGCCCCATGGCCATGCTTGCTCATGGCAACGCTGTTCTCACGCCACAGTGGCAGAGCTGGGTAGCCGTGCAGGGGCCCAGCTGGCACCTGGCCCTCTGCAGAGAGAGTGCGTGACCCCTGCTCTGGGGGAAGAACACAGGCCTGGCCAGAGAGGCAGCGAGAGAAGCAAATGGAATCAGTGTGGGCAGGGAAGGGGCCAGACGGCTCCGGAACACACAGCCGGGCGACAGGCGGGGTGAGACGTCATTGACAGAGGTAGGACAACAGGTGAGAAACAGGCATCTCTTTTGCGGATGACGGTACAGTGTCAAATCCAAAGCACCTGGGGGTCTACTTTTACATTGGTTTAGCTTTACGTTAGTACAGCAATTAGTTTTGCTTTTCCCATGATCTCAAGACTGAACCCACACTCAGCCATAAAAGGAAACGAAACTGAGTTATTTGTAGTGAGGTGGATAGACCCAGAGACTGTCATACAGAGTGAGGTAAGTCAGAAAGAGAAAAACAAATACCATATCCTAACACATATATATAGAATCTAAAAAAAAATGGTTCTGATGAACCTAGGGGCTGGACGGGAATAAAGACACAGACGTAGAGAATGGACTTGAGGACATGGGGAGGGGGAGGGGGAAGGGTAAGCTGGGATGAAGTGAGAGAGTGGCATGGACATATATACACTACCAAATGTAAAATAGACAGCTAGTGGGAAGCAGCCGCATAGCACAGGGAGATCAGCTCCCATAGCACAGGGAGATCAGCTTGGTGCTTTGTGACCACCTAGAGGGGTGGGATAGGGAGGGTGGGAGGGAGACGCAAGAGGGAGGGGATATGGGGACATATGTATATGTATAGCTGATTTACTTTGTTGTAAAGCAGAAACTAACACACCATTGTACAGCAATTATACTCCAATCAAGAGGTTAAAAAAACAAAAAACAAACCCCCCCAAAAAACTGAACCCACCTGGTGAAGAGTCTGATGAACGAACACACAGCTGTTTACGATGGCTTCCCGGTGTGACGGTGGCTGCGGCAGTTTGTCATACACGACTGGCATGTAATCAGGCACGATGTAATTCGGCTTCTCCAGGTCCATCTTACTAGTGAATTCTTTGCCAACCTGATACAGAGCTTCAGTGGACCAGTCCCCAAACCAGTTCAACACACACCTGAAACAGATGCCCACATCTCAAAACAGCTCCCGAGAGCAGGGTCTGCCCCGTGGAAAGCAGAGCCGAGTGGGATCGGCGTACCTGTTGAACAGAGCGGGGGAGGTGGCCGCGCGGTCCTTGAGCCCCTCCGAGGATGGGTTCATGGTGAAGACGACGTGGAGGTTGCGGATGACCTGGCTGGTGAACCACTTGTACAGCTCCTCGTGCGAGTCCAGCATCAAGCCCTCCTTCTGGGCCCCCTCCTTACACTGGGTCATCAGGGTGGCATACTCATCTCCTTCGAAGAGGCCGGGAACCTAGGAAGTAAAACGGCACCATGGCTGGCCGGTCCTCGGAACCCGGCGCCATGTAACACGACGCGGCGTGTCACTGATTACCTCTCCGTTGGCCAGAAGGGTATTCATCCGCTCCAGGAATCCAGAATCTAACACGTTGGACTCGTCCATTATAAAAGCTATCTTTTCGTTTTTACAGCCAGAACGTCTCAACACCGTGCGGAGATCTTCATCAAAGTCCTCCCCCGTGTACTTCCTGTGGACCTACAGAGGCGGGGCAGGTCAGCTCCTCTCTTGCTCAAGGAGCTGCGTGCATGAACAGGATGTGCGTGGGGTTGAGAGGCTGTGGCCAGACCCACCTTAATCTGGTACACGCTCAGACCGTTCATCCAGGCCACGAAACGGGACAGGGTGGTTTTGCCCGCTCCACTGACCCCAATCAGAAGCAGGTGGCCTTGAGGCTGACGGAATATTCTGAAACATTATCAGAAAGAAGAGAGTTAGGCTGTTATGCTCCATTCCCCTTTTGACACTCAAGTCCTAAACCTTCTCAGGATTACTCTACAACATTTGGAACGCGTTTTTTTTTTGTTTTTTGTTTTTTTGGGCGGTACGTGGGCCTCTCACTGCTGTGGCCTCTCCCGTTGCGGAGCACAGGCTCCGGACGCGCAGGCTCAGCGGCCATGGCTCACGGGCCCAGCCGCTCCGCGGCAAACAGCTCCCGAGAGCAGGGTCTGCCCCGTGGAAAGCAGAGCCGAGTGGGATCGGCGTACCTGTTGAACAGAGCGGGGGAGGTGGCCGCGCGGTCCTTGAGCCCCTCCGAGGATGGGTTCATGGTGAAGACGACGTGGAGGTTGCGGATGACCTGGCTGGTGAACCACTTGTACAGCTCCTCGTGCGAGTCCAGCATCAAGCCCTCCTTCTGGGCCCCCTCCTTACACTGGGTCATCAGGGTGGCATACTCATCTCCTTCGAAGAGGCCGGGAACCTAGGAAGTAAAACGGCACCATGGCTGGCCGGTCCTCGGAACCCGGCGCCATGTAACACGACGCGGCGTGTCACTGATTACCTCTCCGTTGGCCAGAAGGGTATTCATCCGCTCCAGGAATCCAGAATCTAACACGTTGGACTCGTCCATTATAAAAGCTATCTTTTCGTTTTTACAGCCAGAACGTCTCAACACCGTGCGGAGATCTTCATCAAAGTCCTCCCCCGTGTACTTCCTGTGGACCTACAGAGGCGGGGCAGGTCAGCTCCTCTCTTGCTCAAGGAGCTGCGTGCATGAACAGGATGTGCGTGGGGTTGAGAGGCTGTGGCCAGACCCACCTTAATCTGGTACACGCTCAGACCGTTCATCCAGGCCACGAAACGGGACAGGGTGGTTTTGCCCGCTCCACTGACCCCAATCAGAAGCAGGTGGCCTTGAGGCTGACGGAATATTCTGAAACATTATCAGAAAGAAGAGAGTTAGGCTGTTATGCTCCATTCCCCTTTTGACACTCAAGTCCTAAACCTTCTCAGGATTACTCTACAACATTTGGAACGCGTTTTTTTTTTGTTTTTTGTTTTTTTGGGCGGTACGTGGGCCTCTCACTGCTGTGGCCTCTCCCGTTGCGGAGCACAGGCTCCGGACGCGCAGGCTCAGCGGCCATGGCTCACGGGCCCAGCCGCTCCGCGGCACGTGGGATCTTCCCGGACCGGGGCACGGACCCGTGTCCCCTGCATCGGCAGGCGGACTCTCAACCACTGCGCCACCAGGGAAGCCCTGGAACGCGTTTTAACTTGAATTTGTACGCTAAACATTCGTACAGCAATTGTTATTTGCCAGGTCCGGTGAGGCGGCAAAGATCAAAAAGACATGGCGCCGCCCCCGGACACCCTGATGACTCGAGGGAGACAGGCCGATTCTAGCAGGAGGGTGAAGGGCTGTAGTCTCAGCCAGTGGTAAGCTCCGCTCAGCAGAGCTGGACTAAGAAGCGGGAGTCGCTTGGCAGACGAAGGCAGGGGCGTGGGAGGCCCGTCAAGAGGACAGCACGAGGCCTGGCCTGACCCCCGCCCCCATCAAATCGAGAGCAGCTCGGGTGAGTGGTGAGGCTGCAGCAACAAAAAGCCCACCGGTCAATCCTGAGCACGTGGTCCAACACCTCATTAAACAGGACCAGAGGGACATCGAGCTCTTCTTCATAGAAGACTTTCAGCCTGGCTTTGACATAATCTCTTAACTCTTCTTGGTCTACTGGGATGTAATCCTGTGGGAAAAAGGGCAGATCCAATTATGAAGAGGAAATCATCTTAGTTCTTATAGCAAAGTGGATTGTATTTCCATATACCAAGAAACTGTCAAAAAATGAGACGAAGGCAGGTATTTATAACATAGGGACAAAAATATAAGTAAACTAGGATGAGACATGGAAAATCTTTACAGAGAAAGCTGAACTTCACTGAAAGACATCATAGAACATCTAAGTAAATGAAGAGATACACCATGATCGTGGAGAGAAAAACACACAACTAAAAATGTCAGTTCCACCCAACTGACACACAGATTCAATGTAATCCCAGTCAAAATCTCAGTGGTGGATGGTGGAAGTTGTTTTGGTGCAACTTGACAAACCAATTCTAAATTTCATTTGGAAGGGGAAAAGCCCGAGACTGGAAAGATGACCCACCCCTTTAAGAACCAGGTGTTCTGGACAGGGACTGTCCTATCCGGTGGACTTAGAACTGTGATCAGGACCACGTGGTTTTAGCACAGGAAGCAGCAAATGGACCAATGGACAGGACAGAGCTCTGTAACAGACTCACGCGCACAGGGAAACCCATGTGACAGTGCGACACTGCAGAGTCCCAGTGCTGGGACCGTGGACGTGCACAAAAGAAAAACTGAAAATGAACCCACAGCTCACCCCATACACTAACTCAATTCAGATGGATTACGGGTTTAAACGATATTCCATTACGAATGTTTGTTCTTCAAAAGACGCTATAAAGAGAGTGAAAAGACAAGCCACTGGGAGAAGATGTTGCCCATAAATGAAACAGGATTAGTATCTAGAGTCTAGAAATAAATAGGAAATTCTAGAAACACTGAGCAAATCTCTCTTGTTCTTCTTGCTTCTGTGCCTTTGCTCCTATCAGGCCCTGTGCCTGCCATGCCCTTGCCGACACTCAGATGAAGGCCTATGAACACTTGCCTAAGCCCCTATGTCAGGGTCAGCTCTCCCAAGGTGGAGCCATCCACCCTATGAGACGGAGCTCCTAAAGGAAGGCTGTCCTCATTCCTAAATCAGCATCGCCTACTGAAGGAAATGCACATCAAGACTGTCACTTCCTACGATGTCGGATGTCGGCTCTCTTTTTCAGAGAAAATGGCAGCTCACAGCTATCCTGGAAATGTCACTCTGTTTAGCATCCTAGTATACGAAACATTTTCACACAAGTTATCCCTAACTGCCCTGATTTCACTGAAGCCCCGTCTCCTGCTGGTTGGATCCACAGCTCTTGGAGCGGCCACGGTCCTGGGATTCTCTGCCCTGAATTATCAACGGCTGCAAATACGTGGCCCATCATGCCTATAGCCGCAGCTTCCTTTACAGTGCGCTTCAAGGCAAAGACGTTTCTGATGAGAAGGTAATTCTAACTAGAAGGACAGGAGCAAAGAAGAGTATTCCTAACGTGATGTAGACGCGTTACCTTTGACAACCAGTTGCTGTACAGGATGGGCCGGCTCATCGCCTTCTCCTTGTCTATGTTGGGGAAATGCTTCAGAGCAACCATATCAATATTTTCGTCAGTCCAACGCCTCTCCTCGTCTTCTACAAGTCTGTCGGAAGAGAAGACAGAGGCCGTGGCGAGAAAACACCTGGTTCTGTGGGCGCTGTGGGCTCCTCCAAGGGCTGGCATTAGTCCTCTACCAGAAATTTTCATTTTCCACAAATGGAAGAACCTAAGGCTCTGAACTCGAGACGACTTAAGTAGTCCGAAACAAAGATATTAAATACGAAAATCTTAAAAAAAAAAACTCCTCTAAAAATGTTTAATTACATTGATTTACAAAATGAAAACTTCATTTTAGTTTCTAAGCTCGTTTAATATAAATGTTTCAAGTATCAAGGAGCATTATGGGAACAGAAATAGAGAACTACAAGGTGTACAGTTTTGGAAACACAAGGCTTACGGAGAAAACCACAGAGCAAGCAGGTGAGACTCTAACTGTCCCTATAGGTGTGGGAGCAGCTGAATACATGATAACTTAGGCTACCAGATGAAGGTCCAATGAGCATGTCACACACTTACCGTAGCCAACCAGAATTTAGAAGCACAACTGCTATTGCGAAATTTCAATCTAAACAAAATTATATCTCTGGTATGTTAAGAAATGTAAAAATGATACTGTAGCCCAATTATTTTTTTTAATTAAATAAGGGAGAATGAAGGTAGCTCACGTAACATAAAAAGGACCGCCTTTTAAAGTGGTAGAGCCGCAATACGAGAGAGAAAAGCTGGGCTGCCAGGGCTCGTGTGCCCCCGCTCTGCCTTGGTTAGCTCATCTCTCTCCCTGCCTCTCTGCAGGGCAGCTCTGTGGGAAATGAGAACTCCAGGGAGGCTGGCGTGGAACCCAGTCATCTACAACAATGCAATATTCCAAGACTCCTCGAAAGCATGGGTGAGAAAAGCTGCCTGAAGGCAAGAATAACTGGTCCAGACGTGTAACTGCCAAAGGCTTAAGTATTTCTTAGTCTGGAGGGAACCATCTGCCTTGGGTTCTGCCAGGGAAGTAACTATTAACCAAATCCTACGACTACCCACACCTGAGACCATGAGTGGTCAGAGGAGCTTGTCCTGCTGGGACCGTGTCCTCTACGGATGGGCCACCTCAGGCAACCTCACACTTAGCCCGGGCCCGAGGGGACCTGCCCTGCCATCAAGGTCCTGCCCTCCTGCTCCTACTCTGCAGCCCCTCTTGCTCTGTTCCGAGTAACCTGTTCACGGGCAGTACATTTCCCTGAATAGTTTGCAACAGGAAATCGTGGTGCTGCACTAAATAGTAAATCAGTTAAGATTTGTTGTTTGTTAGAAGTTTAGAGTTAAAGCAACACAAGTCTAACTTTCTCTCACTAATCAAAAATGAGCCTAAAAGGCTATGAAGGACTGCAGTGCTAAAATACATAAAATTAACAATATAAGAAAAATCAATAAAAATGACAGAGCAGGAACTAGGAAAACAAGAATTTACTATAAGACAAAGATCGTACACAACCATAAACAAAGAATACAGGAAAAAGATTCTGATTTAAAAAGGTCAATAGGGATTCTCCTGGTGGCGCAGTGGTTAAGAATCCACCTGCCAACGTAGGGGACGCGGGTTCGAGCCCTGGTCCAGGAAGATCCCACATGCTACGGAGCAACTAAGCCCGTGCGCCACAACTACTGAGCCCTCATGCCTAGAGTCCTTGCTCCGCAACAAGAGAAGCCACACAGTGAGAAGCCCGCTCACCGCAACGAAGAGCAGCCCCCTGCTCACCCAGACTAGAGAAAGCCTGCGTGCAGCAACGAAGACCCGCCCCCTGCTCACCCAGACTAGAGAAAGCCTGCGTGCAGCAACGAAGACCCAACGCAGCCAAAAATAAATGAATGAAAAGAAAACGGTCAATAATTTTCAAGATGCCTTGAGAGAGAAAACGACTCAACTTTTTACTGAGACTTACGATGGTTCAAACCACAAAACCTTCCACAATCCAAGCTGACCACTACAGCCACTAGCAAGTCTCTCCCTTCAGTACTGGTCACTTAACTAGAAAAAGTCAAAACTTGCAAGACTTGAAATAAGTGGCCAACAGGTAAAAAGAGAAAACTAAAGTCCCAGAGATACAGCTGCAAATCCTCTGATGAGAGCGAAGACTGAGGGTGAGGAAGGGGTGGTGGTTACGGAACTGCACCCCAGGCTGCTGTTAGAAGGCACTGAAATTCACCTGTGACCTCTGTGCCCTGACCTTGTGTGGGGCCCACCCGACAGTGAAAGAGGTGAGTTAAAGTGCCTTGCCCGAGGTTACCAGTAACCAGCAGGGCCGTCGGGGTCTCGTACATAGGGGCGGCCGTGATCAACTCCCAGATGCAAGGCTGCCCTCGCCACCTCACTCCTGTCCATCACCAGCTCAGCCTGCCTCAGGGCAGGCCAGCCTCATGCAGACCCTAACTCGGGGGGTCGGAAGGGTCAACATCCTTGGCTTTACCTGTCCTGGAAGAGACGGAGGGCTTCATGTGCCCAAATCCGAATGAGGCCTTCAACAGGCAGAGTCTCCAGGGGTCTCAGTGCCTCGAAGATACCTCGCACCCACCGGGTCATTTCACGGGGTGAGTAGATATAGTGGGGCTGTGTGTCCTGAGTGAACCTCTCCTGCAGGAATCGAAAAGATGCAAGTTACATGTAAATGTCCTAAGACACAGAAAGTAGTTAAAAACTCAAATGCAGTATAACATTTTTATATTAAGAATAAAGACTCTAGACCCTGGAATATTTGAGAATGAATTGGTAAATAATGTTGGGACTACTGTTCAGAAGATCCAAGTTGCTCACTTTATGTTGCAATTAATTATATTTAAAGATTTATACGTAAAAAAAAAAAAAATAGGGCTTCCCTGGTGGCGCAGTGGTTGAGAGTCCGCCCGCCTGCCGATGCAGAGGACGCGGGTTCGTGCCCTGGTCTGGGAAGATCTCACATGCCGCGGAGCGGCTGGGCCCGTGAGCCGTGGCCGCTGAGCCTGCGCGTCCGGAGCCTTTGCTCCGCAACGGGAGAGGCCACAACAGTGAGAGGCCCGCGTACCGCAAAAAACAAACAAACAAAAAAAAAACTACAAATAAAACGCCTCTAAAAATATTTTAAAAAATGTAATTCCTAAGTTGAGGGGAAAGCTTTTCTAAGCATTATCTCAAAAGTGGAAACAATTAAAGAAAATAGTCTACATTTAATAACATTTAAAATGCTGTAGGAAAAAAACTGCAATCATACAAAATTTAAAACATTTGCGATATGTGACAAGCTAACGCTCATAAAGGCCTCTAAGTGAGATGGCTGTCTCAGGCCTTCCCTGGTAGCACAGTGGTTGAGAGTCTGCCTCCCGATGCAGGGCACATGGGTTCGTGCCCCGGTCTGGGAGGGTCCCGTGTGCCACGGAGCGGCTGGGCCCGTGGGCCATGGCCGCTGGGCCTTCGCGTCCAGAGCCTGTGCTCCGCAGCGGGAGAAGTCGTGGCAGTGAGAGGCCCGCGTACCGAAAAAAAAAAAAGTGATGGCTGTCTCAGTGGAAAGTCGGCAGTTCTCTTGCAAGGGCCCTTGTCAGAGGCTAACAAAGAAACGCAAGCCAAAACCGTGAGAGCCACTTCTCATCCGGTGGGCAAAGATCTTTTTTTTTTTTTTTTTTTTTTGGCAGTGCCCCGCAGCAAGTGGGATCTTAGCCCCCCAACCAGGGATCGAACCCGCGCCCCTGCACTGGAGGGGCGGAGTCTTAACCACGGGTCTGCCTGGGAAGTCCCAGTGGGCAAAGACCTTTTCAATAAATATTTTTTCAAGGCTGAAAGAGGCATCGTGGTAGAACCGTAACCGGTCCAGCCCCAGCAGGTTTGGCCACATGCAGTCACCACAAACACTGCAGAAGAACAAGTACAGACAGGCACGCGTTGGTGCTGTTAAAACAGAAGAGTGTCTGCATCCTTTTAGAAACGGCACAGCACGGTCTCGGTCTCATGAGGGGAATGAACACATGTACACGTGCCAGATGAGGACGGCAAGAACAAGCAAGAGGATATTCGCGGTTGCAGCACCGGCCGGAAGCATAATCTGCTGAGACCCTGGAGAAAGTGTCCTGGCTCAGCCGGAGCTCCAGGTGAAGCTCGGTCTCTCAACAGAGCCTTTCGGTCACGACGGGGCAAGGACGCCGCGCACCTGGGACATGGTGTAGAACTCCACCATCGCCGCGGTGAGAGGCTCTGCGTATGTGCGCAGGGACGGGATGAGGCGCAACATGGCCCGGTTGAAGGTGCCGTAGATCTGCGTCAGGGAGGCGGGTCCCGGGTAATCCACATACACCACGGGCACGTGACGCAGGAACCTGCACAAAGACGGCCCGGCTCAGCCTCGTATGGGGTGAGGGGCAGCGTGCCTGGGAGGGCTGCTTCCCTGTCCCAGGCCCACCGGGGGCTTCCTGAGCTGCCCCCACGGCTTCGCGCCACAGCTGACTGAGGTCTCACACAAACTACTCGGGCCTGGGTCTGGCACGTAACTGTAGATGCAAAAAGCCGGAAAAGAACCGAGCAAAGGTGGGAAAACGATTTGGGCTTATTTCAGCCTCATCCTGGCCCTACAGGCAGGTCTGGGGCAGCTCACTACTGCCCAGCAAGTCGTCGCTTTCATTTTGGGTGTGTTCCCAGCACAGTGACATAACCCCAGAGGAACCCCATGACGAGCAGTATTCTGTTACCTTTTTATAATTACAATCACAGTTTCGTCATGCTACACTTAAAGCAAACCTGGAACTGGTGTGTGTGAGATCAGGGCAGTCTACGGGGCTGGGTGTCACCTGTGAGAGAGGGGCTTCCTTCCAGGGTCGGTGGGTGGGTTACAAGCCCCGACGAACTGGATCCTCTCCAGCTTCACCCAAGTCTGATCTGAGGTTCGGTAAAAGCCTCCGTGCTCCACCATCTGAGGGCAAGGGGCAGTGAGACACGTTAGGGGCAAATGTGACCAGAACACACTGTGGAGGAGGGCACCTCATGGACGTAAACACACCTGTCTGATGAAGGATATGACCCTCTGCGTCCCGTATTTATCCATGTCTGGCAGGTTGATTTCATCACAGAACAACACCAGCCACTTTCCCAGCTGAACAGGGGCCAGGACGACCCCGTTCGGTGTGCGTCTGTACTCGCAGTAGTGGTCAAAAGTCTTCA